TCCGGCCTGGTTAGCTCAACCACACTAGTGTCTCTCCCTAGTCCCCTCTCTAGACCACACTAACACCACGGACCGCTAGGCGCCTCCTAGGCGTCCGGGTTTTCACAAATACTTTTCAAAAACTTTTCTCCAAAACAATTTCATTGGTTTTTAAAAAAATTACTTTTCCCCTTTTTCTTTCCTAATGGATACATGAATGCTTCATGCTTCATAATTTACCATAATTTTCACATCATCAAACCTTAACAACATTCTATACTAAAGAAGAATTTTCTTATGAATTTATAGTATGCTTTAAGTCAACAAAGTTTCTACAATTACACATATTAAACAAGAACATAATCACAAAAACATATTTTTCATATCCAATCAACAAATCATACACACATATATTATTTATACATAACACACACAGAGATACACATCATATATCTAGCATCATGACAATTTTTTAAGAAAAATTTACAATAAATCACATACATTCCATCTACATCACGATCACATTATTAAGGGAAATCCTAACATTTATTTTCATAATTTCAACATCACTTTTCTTAACAATTAAAAATCACATGGCACCTAAAATGTCAATACTAAGCATGTATCTTCACCACCAAGTATATAATCATAATCATTAGTTCAATTAACACATATAATACATCTATCACCTTAATTACATACAACCACAACAATATAGGCAAAATTGCTAAAATCAAACATGCTTAGAATCAAATTAAAAGGGAAAACTCACAAAAGATCAAAGAAAATATGAATTAGAGCACCCCTACCTCAAATTGTAGAAAAACCCTCAAAATGGTTCTCAAAACTCGAAATCCTAGGGGAGGCTGAAATTGCTTATACTCACACGTAGATCTCGCCGTGCTCTCCGTTTTACTGCAAACAGCTCCCAAAAACTCCAAAAAATGAGAGATTAATTGAAACTTTAGTTTTTGATACAAAAGAAAAAGAAAAATGAAGAACAAGAGAGGGAGAGAGAGGATTACGGGAAGAAAGAAAGAATGGGCTGAAATGATCCTTTGACTACTAATTCATTTAGTAGAAAATGGGTCCCACCAAAAAAAAAATTCATAAATTGACTTTTCTTTACTTCTTTTTCCACCACAATATATATACATATGTAAATAAATTACAACCATTACACTAATATTTAAATCATGGTATTTAAGAAGTAATCCAAGGTTTAAGGGGTTTCAAATTGAATCTAATTTTTATTTTAATTTATTGATTTTCATCCAAAAATTTCCAATTCATTTTCCTTATTTTTATTTATTTTTTAAATAATATATAAAATGCATATATAAGGATAATTTAGGCAAATTCTACCTTAAATGTGTCAAGGGACCTATTTGCACAAGTTGAAACTTTAGGGTGTGAAGGATGTGATACGCACTGAATTGAAACTTAAGGTGAATTGAAACTTTAGGTGTTTTCTATACATGAAGGGTGTGATACGCATTGTAAGCATACTATAAGAGTGTTTTATGCACTTGACCCATAATTGGACTTGAACCATATTTGGATTGGTGAACAACGGAGACTGAAAATAAGTACTTATATAGTTTCTTAGCTGACAAACCAATCGTAATCCAATTTTTAACTTTAAAAACTTCTTGATATTTTTTCATAAACATGGTAAGAGCTATTAACCGTTAGTTTTTTTACTATTGAATTCTAGCAGTCATCAAAAGTCTTGTGGCTTAATGGTATCTCCTCTACCTTTTAAAATAAATGGTAGGGTTTAAATTCCCAAAGAGACAAAGCCGGTGTATGAGTAAAAAAAAAATTAAAATCCATTTTCTTGATAAGTAAAAAGAAGTCCATTTTGATAAAATAATCACTCCAATTTAATTGGATGTTCTAATTCATTACAAAATCACCTAAAATATATAGGGCCCGATTGATTTGTAATTCTGAAAATAGTTTTCTGTAAAAAAAATCAGTTTAAAAAACTTCTTTATGAAAACTCAGTTATAAAAAATTCTGTTTTCAGAAACCTGTCTTTATAATTTTCTGAAAGTAGTTTTCTGTTCTCTAAATTCTTGAGAACTGTTTTCAGAGTTGCAAATCAAGCAACCCATATTTTGTGAAATGACGAAAATGGACACAAAAGTAAAATGATGTCGTTTAGTACATGAGGGGTGTGATACGCACCCTAAGCATACTATAGGAGTGTTTCCTGCACTTTATCCTAAAAACTATTATTATTTTGAATTCGAACATCCATTTTTTGCTATGTAAAGAATTATGTGTGTGTGTGTACATGAGTAATGAATACTTATCTTTAATTTACCCCGTTTGGTAGCTATTTAGGTTTACAATTTATTATTTTTATAAACAGATTTTGAAGAAAAATATGTTTGTTAATATTGTTTATGTTTATCAATTATATAAATTCACTTATATAATTACTGTTCAGACATGCCAATTTTATAAACGTCAAAACGATGTGTATTTTTTTTTTCTTCTGAAATGTAAAAAACAGAGAGCTAAGACGCAAAACAAATATCATCCTTTGTGGCTTTAGATAACCAAGAGGGAGCAACCTTGTTATAGGATTTAGGAGTCCAATGAAGAGAGAATCCTTTATTGTACTCCTGCAAGATGTTGATCATCTTCAACCTCTCCTTCTCCTCCGATAGCGCTGTCACCGAGTTGTTATAGCCACTAGCGTTCATCATCAAAACCCCACCCATCGGAGATGATAGTAGCTGCGAGTCACACCAAAAATCCAAATCAGTAACAGATACTCATATAGTCATATAGAGAGAGAAAGTAGAAAGAGTTAGGGGTGTGTATACACACACACACACACACTTATGTACTGGACTAGAACAGAGGTCCCGGACTTCAAATCTATAAATTGGGCACTTCATAAAAGCTTTTATTATTTTGATGGGTCTTTAGATTGGATATCTTAAATATTACTTAAGCAATGTGTACTTTCCGGGGAAAAAAAATTAATTGGAGTGGCAATTTGTTACATGAAAGCCATTATAAATAAGAAATAATTGGGCACTTCATATAAGCTTTTATAATTTATTTGAAACTGCTGTTGAATTTTTTAAAAACAGTTTAAGGTTAACAAACATATTTTTTTGTTTATTGTTTTTAAAATAAGACAAATATTTTTACATTATCAAACAATATATTTGTTTGTCGATAAACAAAAGTTACAGATAAACACTCATTATGTTTAATCTTAAATGATAAACAATAAACAAAAACAATTATCAAATGGGATTAATTTTTTAATTATATATTTAATGAAAAATAATAACTATATTAAAATTTAATTTTGGATTATATATATATATATATGTATGTATTATTTATATTTGACCAGTAAACGTGGCCTTAGATCTTAAGAAGTGTATAACTCTCAACTCATAGAGAGACAATACACTATTAGAGAAAATATATGGAGAATTTTTATTATTTTTTGGGAAAGGTGAGAAAAATCCTTAAAAGTTGATTAAATGTGCACATAATACCCCCATAATGTGAGATTATTAATATACAAACCCTCTTGGACATTTTTGGAAGAGTAAAAGAGTAAAACGGTTATTAAAGCATTACTTTATGTTAGATTTTGTTTTGAGGGGTATTTCCGCACAATGTTAAAAGAATAAAAAGGTTATTAGCACACTTTTTTAAATAGGGGATAAAAGTGCTACGTGGAGTATACATTAAGAGTGTTTTCTGCACTTGACCTATCACCCATCCAAATATACACCCAATGTACTCGTTTGACATTGTTGTTAGAATAAAAATATGCGTTTTTGCTACTAAAGTGATTAAAAAATTGTTGTCAATAACAATCATATTAGATGTTTGGTGACACATTATAATAAGAATACATAATTAAATTATTTTTTAATTTATTTAATAACAAGATTTTTCAAGGTATCATTCTTTGATATTTATTTCATACGGTAGCCACTTTTATAGTTATTTGCCAATGAGCATTTGTGTATTACAATTTGCATCAATATGAAGTGACCTTTTTAACTTTTTTATATTTATGTAATGAGTCTATAATTTACTTTAATCTGTAATAAGTTTTTTTTTTTTTTTTTTTTTTTGCTTAGTTGATGCTCAAGTAAGAGACTGGTACCATTAGGCCACTAGCCCATTGCTAATCTATAATAAGTTAATCATCTCTTATCACACATCAAATATAAAATTCACGCATATATGGTCCATACCTTCACTCTAAGAAATAAAGCCTCAAACTCATGATGCATCAAAATATATATATATATATATATAGACCTCAAAAATTATATTATTTAGCCAAATTTTGATTAATAGGCTATTTGGTTACATACATGACACCTGACAAAATATTTAATTCAATATCATGCAAAACATTTAAGAATAATAATGTCACTTTTACATTTATCCTTTCTCATTTCTCATTTCTCCACAATATAGCATTTTTCTAAACCAAATCATTCCCTTCACTTCCAATTCTGCCAAGATCGTCTCGTTAGTTGGGGGAAGAATCCGCACGAATCGAATTTTTTGAGGAACGTATCGAGAGAGAATTGGATTTGGTTAACTCTTTCTGCTAAACAATGAAGACCTACTCCGTTGGTTAACTATTTCTGCTAAACAATGAAGACCTACTCCGTGCTCCTCTCTTCCATTTCCACTCTTCATAAAAAAAAAGTTAAAAAAAAAAAAAAAAAACCTTTTTTTTTCAAATCTAGTGACACCTCAATCAAGTAAAGTCATATTAACGCTCAGTAGCAACTAGCAAATGTAACAGTTGATGAAGATAGTAAAATACCATATATGTAAGATTTTTTTTTTTTTTTTTTTTTTTTTTAACAGAAAAACAAAGCTAAATACCATATTGCAACAGTCGTATTGTCTCGCCATGGCAAAGCCTCACCTTATATATAAGCTCAAAGATGATGACGACTGTTGTGCACCTTATAACAATGTTTAGTAAAACAACATTAAAGACCATAAAGAACATGAAACAGAAGCACAACTTGAAAGATTGCCAAAGCATGAGACAGAAAATCAGCTTCCTAGTTCCTGCTCATGTACAAGTTGAACGGTACACATTTTCAAAGTCATTTCTCTAGGAAGCATATTTATAAAATGTGACAAGACTACCTCACATGAGGATCCAAGGTTATCAGACAACAAATTTCGCTACACTCTTGATGATTATGGCCTCCAACCTCTTTTATCAGCAGGATGGAATGGAAGTTTGACATCAAATGGGCTCGGGTGAGACCTTGACACTGAATTTGAGTTGAATGTTGTTGAAGAAATAGGACCTCTCAGGAAAGGTCTTGGTTGTGGTGCTTTCACAGTGACGGTTATTGGACAATGAGATGCAGGAGGGAATACACGGGAATGAAACAGTGGCCGAGAAGCAGCTTGGAATAGAGAAGGTAGTACAGGTCGCGGAAGGCCTGGAGGCAAATTTTTTAGAGTTGAGTTTTCTGCCAACGTTGGCTTGTGGCTCTCCGAAGGGCACCACTCAGGCATGTCATCGTCGTCATCAAAAAGATTCTTAGGTGGGGCATAAGTACCGCTTACAGAAGCTGTGGTAGTTTTAATTTGGATACGTTGTTTTTCATCCAAATTGGGCAAAAGCGGGGTCCAGGATTCAGGCTCACCAATATTCTTCCGGACTGGAATTTCTTGGCTGGCAGCTAAAGGAAGTCGTTGAACAGTAGAATGATCTGACCTTTGGTTGGAAGTTGACATTGTTTGCATAATGGTCATTTTGGGCGGCATTGATCCATCCATTCCTTCAGTTGGATGCTTACTGTCAAACGCCAAAGCATCTAAAGGCTTGCCCATTTTAGTTTGAGAAATCCCACATGCAGCTCCGAAATCGAATTCAGGAAGATCATCATCATCGGATGTGGGCGTAGGTTGTTGCAACACATCAGCTGGGAGAGAGACGACGGGTTTCTGAAGTTCCAAACTCGCTCTAGGCTGTTCATGTCCTGAGCAGTGAGCAGCAGGAGCTCCAACTTGCAACAATTGTCCCTGGGGGACCTCAAAAGTGGTGGAGTTGGAACACAGGGATCTTTGGTGTCCCACTAGAATGGATGAGGAGTCGCTAGGGACCGAAGGAATCATCAAGGAATTAGCACTGGAGAAAGACTTGGCAAGTTCAAACTGGACTTCATTGTAGCCACCATTCTTGCTTTCAGTATCCTTTTCTCTTGGACTGTCAAGAGTTGAGGAAGCTGGTACCAACTCGTTTGGGATAGATTCTTGAGCAGTTTGTGTCGGAGACCTTTTTCTTTCCAAAACTTGCTGGGCGGCAGAGTCTGAAGGGGAGGGTTGCTCTGGCAAGGAGGTTTTCTTAATTTCTGATTTACTTGCAACAGAATTCGAAGACGATCTGTTTCTCCGCCATACTACACAACCTATCAAGGAGTCCTGGTTGTCTTCAACAGCTGCCATGCCCTTGAAGAAACCATACTTCGCAAGAATTGTGATTATGGTATCACTGCGAGGACAGATGTAAAGATCGACACCCGGTGATAGCTGTGCAAACCCAACCCTCTCACCTTTTTTATATCCTCTAGCAATCTAACAGTGAGAAACAAGGAAGAATCAAGTATAATCAGATTAACAGAGAAATCAAAACAAGCAGTTACAAAATACTGGTGATTTCTAGTGTCCTGTACTTGCCTCTTTCATGCCTTTCAATCCAGTTTCAGAAGTTCCTTCCTTCCAGCAAAGTGAGATAACCTGAAGATAGTACTCTTTCAACATCTTCACTTCAAACATAATAATTACATAAATGTGCAAGATGTTATTTTTTCAAGATATTGCAAGTTTGCAACGCATCTAACACGTTTCTATATAAAGAAAATTTATAAGAAGACTGCAAGTTGCATGTAGCAGAGCATCATCACACAGTTCCAAGTTACACTAGAAATAAGTTGTCCGAAGTCAGAATCCACCAAACAAAGCAGCCTGATTTTCATCCCTCAGCCCACAAACTGGGTTGCATTATGAGTTATGAAATTTGCCATGTAGAAAAATATATGTATATATATAGATAGAAACCACCATTATTCAGCACTGGTCCAACTTAAGTGGGGCGCTAAGTGGGAAATCTGCTTAATGAAGTCGTTCCACTCTCGAGAGACTCAACTTTTGGCATTATTTTGCACAAATCCGCTGCCTCATACTTGATCTTTTACAGCCACGGCAAGCATTGCCCCTCGTGCTCTATGTATAAAAAAGAGAATTTTTATCCCCATCCATCTTGTCAGTAGGAATAACAAGTCTATGGCCTCCCACAACTCCTGCCTTCAAGTGTCAGCATCATTGCATCATTTTTAACTAAGAAAATGATCTAGCAAGAATCAATGTTCCTCGAGTAACCATATGAGTATAAAAAAATATATGGTCTTTGCAATGCTCCTTTGAACAATAATTCACTTTCATTCACAAATAAAACTAGAACCTACAAAGGCGATGGCATTGCTTATATTCATGGTCTTGATGAAGTAAAGGCAGGTGAATTAGTAGAATTTGAAGAGGGTACAATAGGCATTGCTTTGAATCAGCCAAGTTGTCAACATCACTCCTAATTTGTTTCTGTAACAAAAGGATCTATGATCCTCAACCTGAAATTCAAGAACCTATATCAGGAAAATCCTTAATAAGTCCCAAAAATCCACTCAAATGAAGCTTCACTGTTCCTTAGCAGTCTCTAAATCAAGGCAAACCTCCAATACATACGTTGACAAGGAAATTGGTCTAGCTTAGTGTGCAGAGAGGTGGCATTTTGCAGCAGGAAATGTCATAGAATTTGTTAACAGTAAAGAGAAGCTTGATGCACAAACAATTAATATTTTTCTATTTCAAGCTTTCTCATGGTCAGCGCAATTGACCATAGGTGCAATTTGGGGCATTTGGGTTGGGTTGAATTAAGATAACTGAAAAAAGGGAATGATCCATCTGTGCTTAAACAACCTAAAGAACCAAAACAGTCCCTCTATATGAACTCTAACCATATGCAACCTTGGTCACACAATATCATTAAAAAAAAAAGTCCACTTGTAAAGGGAATAGCTTTGTGTCAACTCAAACCCAGGCAACTCATGGTGGCTGTGATTAAATTTGCAGTTTTTCAGCATAAAAAAAAATCACCACACTAAGTTGTCAAATGGACATGTAGTTCATATATGGCGATTCACATATGCAACTGTGAAATCTGTACTTAGGCAGTGGCATGATCGACAAAACATTGCTCTGGAAACTGGTCAAAACTCCGCTAGTGCCCACAATCTGTTCCACTATTCTCTTCACTTTTGATTTAATCATTCAATCTCAATATTATGTGCAATCACTCAATTAATTTAGTGCTTTTGGTAGGTTCATTCCAATCACAGAAAAATTCAGGAAGTTCCACTTGAAGTCATAGGCATGCCTAAAACTATTCTGGCAGCAAAGGCCTATAACCTAAGAAGCATGGACACAGATATGGGACACAGACACGATACAACACAGATTCACCGACACGTCAAACTAAAAAAAAGTAGGATACGGACACGGCGTGGACACGACTAATAAAAATATAATATTTATTTATATTTCTATTGAAAAAGACAATTATAGAACTTTAATTAATTATAATTTCTATATTAAAGTTATATAAGTTAGAAATTGAGGCTATTCGGATATCAAAAGAAATATATTATATTATATATGATATTACTATCCTATTTTGTCATTAATCATTATAATTATGTTTTTTCCATTACATACTTTGACATGTGTTTAATGTCAATTTTTTAAGGAAAAGGAGGTTGGACACTTTGATATATGCACATAATGTTATTTCTAAGACTGTCATGTGTTTGTCTTATAAAGAGAAGTGAGTATGATGTGTTGGTCAAGTGTCCAGAATGTGTTGACCAAGTGTTTGAGACGTGTCGGCCAAGTGTGGAACATGTTTCAGTCAAGCGTCCGAAATAATAAAAATTATATTTAAAGTAGGACACGGACATGGCACTTCATAGAAGTGTCCGTGCATCTTGGCCTATAACTTCCCATTCCACTAGGAGGTGAACACTCTGATAAGCGTTGAAAGTAGCACATTTGAGCCCTTAAACTTAGTGATGCTTACATAGTAGTACTTATGCTATTTTTATTTTTTATTTTTGTCATTTTCAGGTAATCAAATTCAGTCAATTCCGTTGCTTTTAGGGTCTTTGAGTTCAATCAACGGATGGAGACCGCGAGAGCTAGAGTATCCAAGGTGATCTAATGGCCAAGATCATTCAAGGATAATTCTAGAAGACTTTTAAAGGAGTTTCCAGCAAGCAAAATTCGTTTTGGGTCATTACATGAAGAAAGGAACCTTTCTTATTCAAATAAGGAAACAACTTGAGCAGAAAATTCTAAACCCGCTTCAATGTTTTGGGCATAACATTTTACCCAAAAGTTGAAATTGGGCAAACTTAGCGGCTCTGGAAAGAAGACTTGAAGACAGTCGTTTTTGTGTCTAATAGCATTTTCGAGATTCGTACTCCAAACAGGTCAAAACAGCGTTACAAACTAACGAAAATATAAAAGACTAATTGAGCTTCTTTCTTTTGGCAGACTTTTTCTATTTCCCTTCTTTGGGAGGAAACCCTACAACATATATATATATATATATATATATATATATATATATACAGGGAGATGTCCAACAAAGGGGGGAGGATACAAGAGAGAGTTTTGGTGGCTTAGGGTTGAAGCTTTATTGAAGATTGAAGTAGGAGAACCCGAGAAGAAATTGCAGTCCGCATGCCCAACAACGATGAAGCTTTCTACCTTCTCCACGCTTAGCTAAACTTCTTCTTAGGTAATTGATGTAACCATAGCCAAGTAACACGGTTTGATTGTATTTATTTTTGGGTTATTATTTATATATGTATGGATTGCATAACTGTGAGAATTGCTTTGGTTGTACCAATTGCAATTGTGCTTTAAAGTTTAAAGTTAATCTTAATAAAAATCATTGTCTTTTTTAGAAATAGGTTTTGTTTTGATTGAACCAAAATCGTTCTTATTTTCTGTGATTATGGGAATGATTGTTATGCAATAGTAATAATTGTTTATGTTAGCAAATAATTTGATAGTCCATGCAAATGAAAGATGGGTTGTACTACACCTTAGTTAAGAGTATTTAGGTAGACAATTCGTGCCAACCAAAGATGGATTATACTTATGAAGTGTTAATATATTTATCTTCTTGACCTAATCATTGAGCTTGTAGCCACGTGATTCATAACATATGTATAATGAATTTCTCCAGATTTAATATGATTGACCATTGTTACGAGATTAGTAGTAAAATCAATTCCTTAGGTCCCATTCTCTTGATATCTATTCTCACTTAACTTAGTTTATTTTTAGTTTTATTTAATTTCTTTGCAATTAGAAATATAAAAACAACAAATCAATCTTTTCTCTTGAATCAAATCAGAATTATTCTCATACTTAACAATCCACCACAGTCCCTGAGGTTCGACACCCTCAACATAGCCCAATCCTACAAGGATTCATTTTACTGCGAGTGGTTTATCATTGAAAACATACACATCACACCCCACTGACACAAGCCTCTGAGATACATGCAAGACTAGCAATATGACATAACAAGATTTCAAGATAACTCAGACGGTCGAACCTCTCCAGAGAGCAGACGAAGAACTCCAACAAGATTGCATTTGTAAACATAATTTGATTACTTGATGAAACTGAGAAGTCAAACTTCATACATGACATCAATAACCTCTAATCAATTCTTTTTTCCAGATCTTGGAGGCATCCACTTAATTGAGTGTATTTGTTCATGCTTCCTTGAACTGCGCTTTTGTAACTTGTTAATTTTGTGAAACAAGTATTCACTTAGTGGTAGTTTGAAAAAGTAATTAAGTGCCTAAAACTGATACTCATTGCTTTTTCTTTTTTCTTTTTTCTTGGCTAGACACTCGTTGCTTTTATAAGTAGATGCAGTTTCTTTTGCCCTCAAATTACCTTGTCAAAACTCTCCATTGCAGTGCCTAGCTTTCCAGCATTCCCTCAGAATCCTCCCACTCTCTCAAAGGAATCTCTCATGCAACCCTTCTGAAACTTAGTCTCCTCTTCTTCCCATAGCAAAAGATACCACGGGACTTTGCACACCCACTCCATTTTCTAGAAGTTTTTATACAAAATCAGTCCCTTTGCTTTGATTCTTTTGTATATAAAATTCATGCTTTCTTCTTATATTACAGATTTTGCTTTTATTTTTTGACTATTTTGGTATTGGGTATAAATTATGTTAGGTTATTCTGGGGAAAAAAATTGAAGTTTGAACCATCTCTCTCTAGGACTTTTGAATTGATGATTGCTTTGAAATAGGTTAGAGAAGTACTGTAATGTGAGGAAAAATACATCAATTTATTATCCATTTTGCAGTCTATATCTTCTCCAACATTTTGATCACAATGTTGATCATATTTAGAGTTCAGACTTTATAAATTTTTAACTCTCTTTGATTTGGTTTGGTCTAATTGTTGTTGATTACACTTCAAGTTTAATGAATTTTATAACTATTTTCCATTGATTTGGTCTCTCAATTACTGAATTTTATAACTATTTTCCATTGATTTGGTTTCTCAATTACTCAAACTATTTGATGCAGTGTAAATGGAAGAGGACTTTCTTCAAATAGTTAAAGATCCTTAGAAGACTAGGCTGGG